CAGTAGTTAAAAAGCTAAATTAAGAGGAAGGAAAAATGTAGGCACTTACAAGGAACATGGCACTAAAATGTGCACACTGCATGAATAAATGTCATACCTATCACATCTTGGGCCTCATCTTAAAAGACACTTCACTAAAATTTCTCTGCTCACAACCAGTTGTGTTTAGACAGGTGATTTGTGAGCTCGGCTAATTAACCAGCTGGTATCATTAGCACAAATTAGAGAATGTCAATTCACTGGGCCGGAGGGAGATTTCATGGTTGAGCTCTGATGAGCTTTCACCAAACCCGATGAACTGTCCCAGGAGCAAGGATGTGTTGATTGACGTGGGGTGGGGGTGTCTTCCCCAGCAGGGGCCAAGTCTCTGGGTTATCCTGGCAACCTGTCACAGCTCCCTGGACCATGGGGTGCTCTTCTTGCCTGATAATCCAGAGCAGCTGGGCCAGCCAGAGCATTGAGTCTTGCTGCACATCTCTGGCTCCCCAGCCAGGAGCTTGGAAACCCTCTGTTTGAGCCCACATTGGTTCAAGGTGATCAGGACTTCCAGAGCTCTATGGCCGCTCTTTGAGTTGACATTCTTGCTGCAATCAGCCACCATGGATGCAACAAGATTGTCTATACCACAGCCCAGGGAGCATCCTTCCTGTAAGATGCAGTTTCAGTGTTTCCACAGTGATGTTTCCTATGTATTGCCAGTCTGCAGGAAACACAACAGAGTTTTGAGCGCTTTAAACCTTGGTCTGGTTCAATATGGAACTGCACTCCAAAAGAGAAACATATCCCTGAACTGGAAACCCTGACTATTTGAGACCTCCCTTGTCACCACTGCAACACTAATGCCCATAATTGCTTATAAGTGCACCATGGCAAAAGGAGAAGATACTGCTTTCCATTAACTAGTCAGTGCTTCTCTTGTCTCATCCTCTTTTCCCATGCAGACAGCTCTAAGCAGGAGCTGCGGCTGGATTGCTGAAGGGCCCAGCACAGTGGATCCAACACACATGGAAAGCTAGCACACTGTTGGGACAGTGTGCTGGGAACACCATGCACACGTGTTGCTTTCCAGAAAAAAACAGCTGAGATGTGGATACCCTAATGAATCCTTTAAATGAAAGTTACCAGCTGGCTGTCCCCTTCTGTTTCCGCGAGGCCCCTATGGACACTGCAGTTACCAAAAAAGACTGCACAGATGTGAAACAAGAGCCGATAAGTGCTTGCAGCCCCCCTGAGGTATCTCCATCCTTCTCTTCTGTCCTTACCCTGCTGCTCTGCCTTTATTCCTACCATCCTTGCCTAGGAATATAAATACTGGATATACTTCTAGGGCCAGGTTCTCTACCACTGTAAATCAGCACAGCTCTGCTGCTTTCCCACTATGAGGCATCGCAAGCCTTCCTAATGCTTAGCTGTAGAAGTGCTGTCCATAAACGTAGGAGTTAGTAGCTGTGCTAGAAATCAGTTGTTCCCTGGTAAAAGCATACATCATGCAGCTCAGAAAAATCAGATCCTGGCTTTGTGGGAAATGTTGGACTTTGTGCCAGATTAGTTTCAGGCAGCATCCTCAGGCAGCCCTTTTTTGGGTGATACTTCTTCAGATCAGCCATAAGAAGATGTGCAAAATGATGGACAGTAGATAAGCTGGGGGAAGTAAAACAGATAGTAATCCTTCATGGCCACAGAAGGTTCTGCTCTTTTCTAGGATATATACATGTAAAGAGAAGAATTATTCCTGTGCAGTATTTCTTCATCATGAGCCTATTTTCTAATGGTTTTGACAGGCTTCAGCTCAAGGTCCCTGAGAACAGGCCCTGTTCTAGCGCAAGGATCCTAGGCAGCTGCCAAGGGCAGCAGATGCAAATAGCCATCCCTCTGGAGACACAGAGCCCTGGACAGCCTGGCTAGTGCCAGGTGAGATATGTGGGGACACAGCTATTCATGGAAGGAAGGATTCCCTCTCATCCTCTCAGTGGCAGCCAGGGCAGTAAACTCAGCTCACCAAGGCTCTGCCCTCTGCTTTCCATCCCAGTCCTTCCATCCGTAAGCAATCCCTGTCTCCTGGCCACGACCATCTTCCCTCGGCTGCCTCAAAGTCTAAGCAAAGCTTTAGGATGCAGGGATGGTCACTACCTTCTGCAAACAGCTCAAATTGCTGGCACCCACGGAGGGAGGATGGGGAGGCTCTGAAGTTTTGCTGCCTCTGGTCCCCGAAGGAGCATCAGTCCTGTCCACCCTTTGGGGACAGTACAGCAAGTGAGACAAGTAGAGGCTCAGCGAAGGATATTTCACAGCTGTTATATATAAATAGCTCCACTGTTGCAAAGTCAAAACCAGGCCAAGAAATGCTCCTTGTACATCTTCCAATCTCATCCTTCTCCCCTCTAGCCACCATTACTTCTTCCATGTGGTCACAGTTCCGCCCTCCATGTTGGGAAACGCTTGCTCCCTTCTCCAGGTGGACTTCGACAAAGAGTCCATATTCTCATTGGGCTGCAGGACAAGCAAGAGTCACAAATGACTGCTTCTCAGTGTCCTACTAATCAGTCATGCAAACAGGGGAGGAGAATCCCTTCATTTCCCCATGGGAAGCTACCCATAGAGCACAGCGCAGTTACTTGGTCTCGCTAAAGATTTTACTTGCGTGGTTTTTCCACACAGAGCTGAAAAACATCAGGGCAGCAGGTAAAATGGGAGTCACAGCCCCCAAGAAAGACATAATCTGCTACAGATGTATGGCGCTGGATCCCTTACTGCATTGCTTTGTCAGGTTTGAGGGCCACACTCCAAAGGCAGGCGCAGGCTGAAATGTGTATCTTGTACTAAATTATTTAGATGCCTAAATGCTTTTTTTTGAACAGTTCTTGGACAGCTTCTAAAGACTCCCTGTGACCATGCAGATTCGTACACCCTCTAGGCATTAGTTCAACTTAAGTTGTTAAGGTGTGTTCCTTAACTCCCACAACTTAAATGTTAAGGTGTATATTTATTCTCATGAATAGGTGAGCCAGGGCAACACATTACAGTTAAACTGTTGCCAAGTTTCTGTGGTAGTATAAAATCTATAGTTTTTGGTATGTGTTGCACTTTAGAAACTTTAGAAACACTGAATTGTCTTGACTTTCCAGCGTTTCACAAACCTGTGAAATGTCTCTGGTCCTGTAGGCATGATCATTTGGGCAAGACATAAGCATGAGCTGATGCTTCAACTGCTTCCATTTGTTGTAACAGCCCATGGGATTTAAAGGATGGTTTTCTACAGCTTGTCATTAGAAATGAGAAATTAACATCCACAGCTCAAGTGCTACACTGCGCTTGGCATGAGTTCAAAGATAACATGTTGTTCCTGTACCACTCCACTCAATTTTGGATCAAACTTGCATCCAATGCCACAAGGCTGTTTCCAGAAAGGAATAGAAAATGCTCTGAGCACTGACGGCAGCAGAGGAGGGAGTTCACAGGGTTTCAGCACTTCATGTCCAGCCATACAAGCCCTGGCAGATGTGGCTGATCAGTGTTGCTGGCTGCTTTCATCCATCAAGTGGCAATAAAGAGAAATGCGAGTGTAAGATGCATTTTGGTGTCTGAAATAGCCACTGCAAGCTGCATGGGGCTGAGGAAGGATGTACTGGGCAGGATAGACCCAAGTTGGGGTCTGGAGCACTGGGAAGGATACACAAAGAAACCAAGTTAGCACTGTGACTGCAAGAGCAGAGATCAGTCAACAATAAGCACCAAAATAACAAGTGACCGTCTGCTCTTAGATGCAGAGAATATTTTAGTCCAGCCTCTAGTCCTAATCTTTCCTTTGGCTGCCTGAACTCTGCTTTCACAGAGCGCTTCAGTGCACATGGACACCAAAGTCTCTACAGCGGTCCCTTTTTGCTAACTTTTGCTGATGCCTAGCAGTTTTTGACTCTGAAACCTCTAGATCAGCAATAACTCCCATCCCTGTGCCCTTCACAAAGGATCTGTCTAATTTACCCCCTTTCTGGAAGCATCTAAGGATGACATGGCCAGGCTTGTGGGCAGAAACATTTCCTTTTGGGCTTCTTCTCCCCAGGCACTGTTATCTCCAGGGCCAGCTTCCGGACTGCTCCACTGCTAGCAAGACTTGAGGCTGTGACATCTCAATCCTAAAGCAGATCTCTAAAATGGATAGCATAGGATAGAATAGAATAGCATACTTAAGTTGGAAGGGACTGATCTGATGAATCACCCCTTTTCACTTGGAGGAAAGTGTGCAATGCCTAGCCCTGATGCAGGCTAGCAGGAAGACTCTGCCTTGGCAATGCCAGCTCAGTGTGGAAGTGTGGCAAGCACCTGTGAGCAGAGATGGGAATATTAACATCTTGCACAGTTGCAGTACTTTATATCCCCCCACTTCTCCAGGCAGGTACGTTAGGATGTCTGATGATGCTAACACCATCTGGCTCACTCCCCTAGGCTAAGATAGCAGAAGCAGTATGGTCATTGCCTCCCCTAGCAGCCATGGCCCCAAGCAGCCCCTCTAACCCTTCAGGCTACACTCACAGGTCACAGGGTGACAATTCCTGTGACACTCCTGTGACACAGGAAGGTGTCCACTGTGGCCGGGAAGGGTGGGCGAAGGGGTTGAACGAAGGGGTCTGGAGATCCAGCTGGCCTGGGGAGTCAGGGTTGACTGCCTGAGGAGGCAAGACGTCCTCAGCCTCCTGCTCCCCTCTGCCCTGTCCCAGCTCCTGTCAGTCCCGTTCCTCCCACCCAGGCAGCTCTGGGAATGTGTGTCCAGCCAGACCAGACTGGGGACTGTGGGGTGAGCACTGGGGTAGGCGTGGGGATGTCAGGCAGACGTCCTCTGTAAAGACACTGCTAGTCTTGATCAGAGGAGGATGGTGCATGCCATTGCCCCGAGGTATCGGAAGCCATCTCTGCTCCATTTACAGGACTCAAGCGCCTGAGTTCCCCGGGGTGGCTGTCCTCTTACCATCAGTGCTCCAGTTTTGGACTCAGTTTATAACCAGATGTTAGGCCGAATTTCTGTTGTAAAGGTAAAAACCACTGGTACCGAAGTGCCTTGGGCCGCGACCTCGCCGTGGGCTTTGTGCAGGCAGAACGAGTGCCTTGCTCACAGCAGTGGGGGCAGAGCCCAGGGTTGCCAGCCCCGGCTGCCCCCAAAGAGGGTGTCCCCGCTTAGCCCTCCGCCAGCCGCCTACCTCCCCTCACTGCCCACCTCCACGCCTGCCTTGTCTGCTCGCTATGCCGGCCTGGCTCACCCCGGCCTGTCTCCTGCTTCGCCCGGCTGTCAACCGGCTGCCTCCAGCTTAGGTTGTGAGCTCTTCCAGCAGTGCTAGGGCCTCTAGGGACAGAAAACAGGGAGAGTGGGCACAGTGTCACTGAATACCAGGAGAAAACCTCCCGCCCCCTCCCCATCATGAGTTAAAGAGCTGCCTCCTTCCCTGGAAAGGGCCCGCTGACCAAGGATAGAGCTTCTCCACAGCCCTTGGAGAGCCAGGAGGTGTTAGACCTGTCTGGAGATTGCACCAGCCCCACAAGCACGTGGGGGAGGAGGACTTGCTCAAAAATGGACATGTTCTTGATTGCTCAGCTGCTTTGGGGACTGATAATCCGGCTGCTGTTATTGCAAACCTTCTTGGCATGTTTCAGGCTGTCCTCTCCTTCTACAGACTGACAGGCTGCAAACTGCCAGGGAGCCTGGAAAAACTCTTTAAGTCTAAAAAGGGGCACATTGACTGCCCAAGACAAACATCTCCTACCGTGTAATGAGGCTGCAGCAGGGGCCGAACCTCCCCCCGTGTCTCCCAGCCATGACAGGAGGAGGAGAAAGAGGACAGCACCTTACAGGATGGGTTATACCCAGCCTTCATGCCACTCTGAACCATGGGTGACCCTCGGGGACACAGCCACCTGCATCTGGGAGGAGGGACTGAACCCACCATGTTTGTGGTTCCTCTAGTTGCAGGCATTAGCCTCTGAGTTGAAGGCGGGTTTCACAGAAGCGATGCAGGAGCTGTCGCGAATCCAGCATGGCGAGTATGCACTGGAGGAGAAGGTCAAGAGCTGCCGCTGTGCCATGGAAGAGAAAGTGGCTGAGATGAAGAACTCCCTCAACACATTCAAGGTAGGAGTGTGACCTGCAGGGGGGCTGCGTACCTGCCACATTAGCTCAGGTGGCACAGGGCAGCATTCCCCTGCCTCCATCAATCCCTCCTGCTTGCAAAGAAAATGAGCTGGCAATCGTTTCCGATGTATCTGGTGCACTTCCTTTGGCTTTGTGTCTACGACTGCCCCGTCTGCTCCAACCCAAATGTAACCCATGCTCTGGCCTGTTTAGCCTTCCTGATGGGCCATGAGACAGTGCTGCGAGCTACCCCGGGCAGAAGCAACCCTTGCTCTGGGTTGCACATGCCATGGGTACATGGCCTGTTCACAGGCTGCCGCTGGGCCACAGTGCCATACCTCTCCCTGGGTCAGGTCTCTTGCATTTCCTGCAGGAACCAAAACCACTGGGGAGCAGGGAATTAACACAAAACCCTAAAGCCTTTTGAAGTTGCATTCCCACACGGCTGGGAGGAAGTGCTGCTTGGTTTGATCTGGCCCAAGAGGATAAAGACAAAGGACTGGAGAGAGAGCCTAGCAAGAAGGCTTGATGTACACTTTAAACCAGCCAGTGTCTCCATGCAGAAACTGGATGACTGCCTGTGAGGAGGCAGGCAGAGGAACTGTTTTATTATTTTTATGGTAAATTTTCCCCATGGGGTTTTGCTGAGTCAATTATACCTTGTGAAGTTAAAGAGGGCTGCTTACTGGAAAAGCCTGTTACTGAGCCTGTTACTGACCCTGTGACAGGGAAAGATGAATAGCACTGGGCAAAAGGAGCCCTGTGGTCCCAGTCAAGCAAGGGAGACAAGAAGTGTAAGGGCACATGGCAGAGGTCTCAAAGCAACCAGAGGCAGGGTTATCCAGGACATTGTTATGGGGCAAAAAAGCAGTTTAAAATCCAGATACAAGGAATTATGCAAGCAACAGGAGGGGCAAAGGCTGCTCTCCCTCTGCCTCATGCCCATGTTGACTGTCCAAATGTTGAGCTCCCAGTGAAGCCACCTCCTTGTTTGGGGAAAATCCCTCTCCTTTGATTTACAAGAAACTCTTGAGTCTCTCTCCTCCATCCTGCTGCTCACATTGATGAAACCTGCAGGAACTTCATGCATCGGAGAGCTCTACATCTGAGTAAGGCTTGGTTGAAACTGCCTGAGGGAGGACGTGCTGACAGGGAGGTTACAGAGGGCCTCATTTCCTTAGGAAACTAGGCTAAAAAGGCAGCTCCAAGGCCTGACCGGCAAAAGCTTATACATGTATGAGTGATCACACTGGGATCTGAACCAAGTGCAACATGTGAATACACATGCTGGAGAACTGCAGAGGGAAATGTGCTTCCTCAGGCCAACCTCCTAATGCCATTAAAGGCAGGAGTCCTCCCAGTGCTTTCAACTGGTGGTCGATGAAGCCCGATGTCTCCATCTCCCACCAGTGCCTTAACCATGTGAAATCACGCTGGCTTGGGTGAGTTGCCTGTAGTTGAATTAAGGATTTGCCACAGTGTGCATGGCATGTATTACAGACACTGGACTTGCAAAGGAAGAGTGTCTAATCACAGAGCCACTCTCCACAGCACCCTGAAGCATCTCTAGTGCACACCAGCCAGCATTCAAAGCTGTGCCATGTAAGGCTGATGGGCACCCTCGGAATGCTGTGCTTTTGCCTGTTTCTCAGGAGGAGCTCAGCGATGCAAAGTCAATGATTGAAGAAATCAGTGCCAAGCAGGAGGAAATGCAACAGAAAATTGAACAGCTGCAGCAAGAGAAGCGGCGGGAATCACGGAAAGTGAAAGCTAAGTAAGGGCCCAAACTTGAGGGCTCTGGAAGTGCTAATTAGCAGTGGTGTTCGTTTTGTTCATTTCCTTATAGCTTAATTTCTTAAATCTTTTCCTGGCTGATTATTACTGGAAGCTCTAGACTTCAGTTCACCCCAGGCTTTTAGGCACGTACCCCACAGAGCAAACACAGCAGAAAACCACCAGCACCTCACTGGGATTCCAACAGCAAAATAGCCCCAGCACCTCTCAGGGAAACCAGGGCTTGCTGAAACACACAGACCTGCTAGAGACATGTTGGGGCAGGAATATTGTTGAAAGTCAGGAGCCTTCACCATTACAAGCTATTGCTAAGCCACCCCCATGCAGACAACAGCACTACAGTTTCCCCTTCCAAGTGTGCAGAACTCAGCGGTCTCTGATGGTGCAGTCATGCTCTGCTTTCCTGTCACCAGCCTTTTCTTCTCTGAGCAGGTCATGCAGGAGCATGTTTGCACACTGCTGGGTCACACTGTTGCTGTGTTGAAGCAGACGGCTCATCCACCTTGGCCCTGATTAGCCTCCTGAAAACAGAGTTTTGATGATGAGCATACAGCTGCCTTGATGCAAACACTTTGCAAATCTAGGCTAGCCCCTTAGCTAATTAAGCCATTTAATTAGATGAAATATGTTCTGCAAAAGAACATATCTGAAATAACCTTCTCCTATAGCCAGTGGAAGTTACTTACAGAACATTGTTCATGAACTGCATCAAAGCCAACCCCTTTCCTGGTCTCTGCTGGAGTTGTCCTACTTCTGACTCTGTGCTTGTACTTACACTGGTGTCTGCCACAACTGTAGTGTAGGAGCTTCACCTGTAGCATTCATACTTTCCAACTGTCTCATTCTTTGTATTTGTACAGAAGAGCACAGAAGGATGATCATGGGTCACAGACAGTGCCTACACCTCTTCAGGGCAGCCCATTTCGATCCATTAACCTCCCAGAACCTGTACTCATCAATGAAGATTTTACAAGTCTTTTACACAACGTGACTTATGAAAAAGGTAGGAAATAGAGTAGGCAAATGCAGTGCCTTCCTCAGGAAAAAAATCCAGAAAAAGGTCACTAGGGTAAGAGGACACCAAGTTTTCCTCAGGTGCCAGCAGCACAAAAAGAGAACAGGGGTGCTCCTGGGTTTTTGCATGCACTTTGGCACAGTGTCTCAGGATAGCGACCTTGGTGCTGGCCTGGATTCAGGAGATGCTGCTCTGTGAACAATGTCCCAAAAGCCATTGCTTGCCTCCTCCAAGGAAAGGGAAGCAGGCTGGATCTTCTCCCCTGCAATGCTAGTGGCACAGACACAGAGCCAAGTAAGAGCCCCTGATAAAAATACTACAACCTGTGGATTTGTTTCCCTGTAAGGGAGCAGGGCACAGAAAGGAGGATCACAGGGACTGGGCTGACAGAGAACACCTGGTGCCATTAAGGGGCTATACCAGTGGTTGATTTGACAAGGGGTCATGGGAGCTCGTACATACACACACTAGGCTACTGGTGTCACTGCTCCTGGCATATACACACTGCTAGGTGAATCACTGCCCCTTGTTAGCTGCGGAAGCTGCTAACCCATGGTGTTAGGGTTACACCTTGACCAGGAAAACAGTGTCAACTGCCAAATACTTGTCTTTGCTTCCAGCCTTCACAAGGTGATGGACCAGAGCCTTTTTTAACTTTGGGGGTCTATCACTCTCTTGCTGTTCAGATAGGAAGACACTAAAAACATATACATTTAAAGTGTCAACAAAGGCAGAGATTGGATGAAAACCACATGCTGTTTTCTACTGTGTTCTGCTCAGAATCTGGCCCCCCTCTGCCCTACTCTGAGGTGGTATGTTAGCCCTCTCCCTCACACCCCTCTTGCACATCCACCTCTCTCACCCACTTCTCCCACTGCCCCTTTCTTTCCAGTCATCTCACTCCTCTACTCTTCAGTAAGCTCTTTTCTACCCAGAATGGCAGCCGTGTCTCTGTCAGGCCTCCATCCTCTTGTTCTGCCTGCTGGGTGCCTTCTACCCAACATGCACCTACTAAGCAAGGACGAACCAAGACTGCGCACATTCCTCTGCAGTCATACAGCACCAAGCACAACAGGGACCCCCACATTAGTGTGCCTGCAGGTGCTACTGAAACAAAGACCACAACAAGGGCCACAACAGTAAAGATCCTCCTTAGTGGAGGATCTAATGGGGGTGTTTCCATAGCAAAAATGTGAAAGACTGGAGGATCTAACCATACTGACTGGGCTTGGCAGGAGGAAGACTGCTCTACAGCTGTCCTTCTCTTGTAAAGTTTCCCTTTGTTCTTCAACAGTGTCTGACACCAGGATCATGCCAATGGGAGAAGGAAGCGTGAAAGTTGTAGCAGGTCCAGGTAGGAAAATATTGAACTGTCAAAAAACAGTAGGACACTGATTCAGAGTGCTTGCTTTGCTGCACTGAAGAAATGCTTTCAGGGAACGCATTTCACAAGAATGTCTTTCACTTTGCTGTGTACCTCCATTTTCATACTTGCAGTTGAGATATGAGGGCAAACCTGCGTTCCTGAAGTGCCAAATACCTGACAGACAGTGCAAAGGATTGATATTTGGCAGGGAAAGCCTTTCTGCTGCTGCTGCTGCTTTCGCAGGTTCTAAGTGCCCTTGCAGAAAGGAAGAATTGATGTGGCAAAGAATAACGAGAGTGCCATTTTGCCACTTGGGAAGAGATGGTCTTTGCAGTAACCACATACCAGTAGAACTGGCGAGCTGTTGATTTGCCCACCAGCTTCTAGATTCCTTGTAGACATGTCTGAATAGTAACAGAGGAGTTTTTCTGGCAAAAATAAAAATTGTAAGAGAAGGGTAAAGAGACACTATGGATCCTGGCCAGCAAAAGGACACATGAGAACAACCATTAGATGTCTGCACTGTTCACTAGAAGCACTCACTGTTTTGGATAGCTCTTTTGCTTGAACACAGTTGAAAAAAAGAGAGAACAAAAGCTACAGAAAATGGTTCATTGCAACCCAAATTCAAAGTATTTGCATTAAAGCAATTCCAGCCCAGTAGCTCTAATGCACTTGTACCCACCCTCTCCTACCTTTTCTGTGATTTAATAGCATCAGACTATTGGTCCTGCTGCTGCTGTATAATCACATCACACTAACAAAAATTTTAAAAGCCAGGACAGTTTACATCCATTGAGAACAGCATTTAAATCCAAATTATAATGATACTTCCTGTTTCTACAATACCTGCCAATAAGTGTCATAATACCAAGTCCTGAAATGTCCTAGAATCCTGAAGTGCAACCATACTTGGAATACATGTTTTTTCTTTTCTGACATGTGTCTAATTTTGGACCTTATTTGGCCTGAAAATAAATGCTGGAAGAGTGCAAACCTTGTTCTGCCAAAGCGCTCGCCAACTGCATTTCTGTTTGTAAATTAACGCTACAAGGCTATAGCGCTTGTGAAACACAGAGAATGCTTCAAACTCTCCCTCCAGTACTTCAAATGGATGACAATGCAGGTTAGCTGCCTGCTGTAGTATAACCTGTCAACTGAGACATCAAGATCCATACAGCTGTTTGTCATTGCAGGAGCAACCATAGAGACAGATGACAGCCTCAAGCCTTCCTTGACAACAGAGGGGCAGTCGAAAGTACATCTGCCATCAACAGTGTGGAAGCAGCCCAAGGACACCAAGGACTGGGGAGATGAATACATTTCCAAAGAGCAACCGGAGCGAGGGAAAGACATCGGCCAAAGCAGATACAGCTCAGCAGACAACATTATATGTGAACCCTCCTTGGCTGGTAAGGACAGAGTGGAAAACTGGCTAGAGAGGCTCAAAGCTGCATTCACATCTGGTGTGAGCTGGTTGGTAATCAGCTTCTACAGAGGGAGACACACAAGCCAGTTTCTCCTGCTAGGGGGGAATGTCTCAGGGCCTCAGTCTCCAAGACTCCTGGCCTTTGTATTTACTGGTCTGTGCTATTGACAGAATTGCTCTACACCCAGGACACCCATTCTCCTCTCCAAGACCTGGCAGGTTCAGAGTACTGATGGGATTGTGACAGTGTAGTTGCTTAAGTGGGTGAAAAATACAACTTCTCATTCTGCAGGAAACTGGATGTGAATCCCTGGTATGAGTTGTTTTGCCTTTGATTGCTTGTTTTGTTATTCTTGGAAAAAAATGGTATTCACAGGGGAAAATACATTTGCTTTGGAGCTTTCTTAGCAAACTGTGGCTCCAGTCATGTCTGGAGCATCAGGCTAGAATTTTATATTTTGGGAAAAGCAGACACACAAAGACAAGACATTGGTGTCACTTTTTGACAGTTTCTCCTTTCATGATTTAATGTCAGATCACGAGTCTGACATTTTGCTTGAATCCACTTGGAAAAAAGAGGGAACAAAAGCTACAGAAAATGTTTCATTGCAACCCAAATTCAAAGTATTTGCATTAAAGCAATTCTAGCCCAATGGCTCTAAGATGAGGCTGTCCTTGAGGCCAGCATTTCCTTATTTTTAAACTTAACCATTATCTTCTGGAAGCCAAAAGGCAGAACATCGCTTTGGAACTGCTGGAGTCAGAAAGGAAATATGTCATCAACCTTTCCCTAATCCTGAAGATCAAGGCCACGTTGCAAGGGCCAGATGTGAAAAGGAGCACCAAAGAGAGAAGGTATTTGATTTAGTGCGCTCTCTCTTTTGGGGAGTTTTCTTCAATCAATATTCTTTCTTCATCATCCTCTCTCCCACTTTTCTTTCATCCACAGAGAGATCTTTGAACACTTAGAGCTTATTTCTAGTTGAAAATTTGAGGCACTGGAAGGTTTTTGCAGTGATTAAAGACTATCCTGCCTGTCTTTGCATCTTGTCCACCTTGCATCCCAAACCGTTTCACTACTACTTCATTTCAGTCTCCTTCTGAGCCCCATCAGTCTCCTATTCTTCTTTTGCATGCTTCCTGCCTGGGTGGAAACAAAGCTTTGTGCATTCACTGCCTGCTTCTCCCAGTGCACAGCTCCAGCTCTAGAAGCTGCTGTGGGCATAAGCCCCTGGCTAGTGGCTGCCACCCATCAGGTATTGATATATACAGACATACACAGGTATTTACACACAGACACAAGACCAGTGGGGCCGAGCCAGCTTAGCAGTTAAACCTAGTTCTTTGCAAAGGCCATTCCCTGTGGCAGCAGTCTTAGTTCCTGGGATGGGATAGCTCCTACAGCTCTCCCCATTCACTCAGCTTTGGCCTGGGAGTTCCCATCCCCTAAACACATTTGGGGAGCCCAGTCCTTGCTAGCTCTCTATTTTTTTGCTTTTTCCATTGTCCCTAGGAGTCCCACATCCAAGGAGTCATTTGACAGAAGTCCACTGTGGGACACTTGGTACACGGGTTCATGTGGACTCATTTAAGCAGTTACATGACACAGTTCAAACTGAAGCATGATAGTCCGAAGTGAGTTTTTAATTTTACTCTTTTTCCCTGGGACCTTTCCATCTGGCAAAGTATTTTGATACTTGACATCTTCATTCTGATTCTGGATGAAATCAGCATGAAATGACAGAAAAGCAGTAGTACATTTTGAACAGCTCTGCATCAAAGGGTTGGCTTGTTAAAGGGCCTGACCAATGAGACAACATACAAAGCTAGCGAGCTCTCCGCTAAGCATGCTATCGGATGGCTCAGCACCATGGTCCTGCTTCATTAGCCACAGCAGCATTGCCTTGGGCTTTTTAATTCTGCAAATTCTGGTCAGCTACACAATGCACTGGAGAGTCAGCCTAAGAAACCTTCAAAACATTGTAATAACAGCCTACTGGAGAGGGTACCTGCATGTACATAGCAGCCAAAACAGGGCCTCCTGGTGCAGCCAGGAGTCCAATAAAGGTAGTTGTTAATACCTGTGTCTAAAGCAAGCCTGTGCTGACCACCCATGAATGCACACTTCAGCAGTACATGCTTAGGGCTGAGCTTCTGTTCTGTGTAACCAGCCTGATATCGTCTCCCTTCAGTTTCTTCCCCAACTCTTTGCGGTACCTGGTCCAGCAGCATGTCGATTTACTTCACGCTCTACAGGAGCGAGTTCTGAGCTGGCCACGACAAGGGATCCTAGGAGACATCTTCCTGAAGTTAACAAATGATGAGGTATGTTACAGACACCTCTCTTCTGCTATGATTCATGATGTTGTGCTGATAGCCCACAGGTGGGCTGAGATACCTTGCAACAGGGGGGCTGTGCTGTGAAGCCCTGGCTAGGGTAAGGCCTTTCAGTCAGCCTCCTTTGAGGAGAGTCCTGGTGCATGGTAGCCCCTTTGTTGTAGTACTTGGTTGGTCAGGGAGCCCACATGCTGGACTCACCTGGGGGCATGCAGCCACATAGCACAGCCCTAGAATAAATGCATAAGATCTAGTCTTGGTTGCAGGAGCCACAGATGAGCCTTGACAGCTTGGATGTCTGTATTCACAGTAAGAGTGTGAGAATAATGTTGTTTCTTATGTTCCCCTTCCCCAATACACTTTGCTCAGAGTTATGACAAATGGGTGGGCATGCCCCATATCCTATATGGTTTGTAGCCCCAAGTAAAAAAGCACCTCCTTTTCAGGGTGAAGGTCTGCCCAACCCCTGGTGAGCAGTGGGACCTCTCCTGGAAGGATGTGTAAAAACTCATCTGATGCTTTATAAATTTTAGGAGTCTTAAATAAGAAAAGCATCTTCCTCCCGAGCCTCTATACCCCTCCTATCTGTTATAAACCTTTATATACTGTGCTCAACAGCTGAACACGTTTTATTAAACAGCCTTTCTTGAGAAGTCCCAAGCCCTGAAAGCTTCACACAGTTAGCAGCTCTGCTGCACTGATGAGCTCCCAGGAGTGATGGTGGGGAATCAACAGTTTCTCATTCTGGCTGGCTCTATGACCAAAAATCTCTCTTAAGATTCTCTGTTCTTTTCTTTTTCCCTTTTGTAAGAATAATTTTCTGGACTACTATGTTGCGTACCTGAGGGACCTGCCAGAATGCATATCTCTGATCCACGTGGTGATCCTGAAGGAGGTAAACTTCTGCCTGCTTCACAGACACATAATGGCAACATGCAAGACTGGATCTCTTCCTGTTATGTCTGCCCACAATAGGACTCTTCTGCCAATTCACTTGTTCTGTTATCAAATGCCAGTTTCCTGAACGTTGCCATGGCTGACATGCACCTACAAAAGGCAGCTTTAACATGTTCATCACTGTGTGTAACCAAAGCTGCATTTCTGCTGTGACATAAAATAATGTCTCAGATCAAACCTCCCAGAAAGCTTGCCTATGCACATGCTATCCAGACCTGTCCCAGGCAAACAGTGTCTCCTGGAAAATGGAGGACTCAGCCAAACAGGGAGACCAAGAGCGAGGCTGAGAGTGCTTTAGAGAGAAAACAGTCTCTACTGTTCAGCTTCTCACATCCTTGATTCTTGGTTTAAACTAGGAAAGTTAAATAAAAAGGTAGTTTTAAAGTGCAATAACTAAACCACACTAGCCGCTTCCAAGACATCTTAATTTAGCAGTCAATCTCATTTTGTTATATTCATTTGGGCCTAAACTAAGAAATTCATTCTGAACAGCAGTGCCTACCTGGGGTTTCAGTGAAACCTAACTACTGCACTTTAAACATACAACCCTACTTAATTAGGCTGAGTGTCCCTCGTAGATAATCACCAGCCTAAGGAATTTCACCCTTAGGACTAGTATTGCTTGTGGAAGGAGTCGCAAATATCCCTTCCAGAAGGAAGATGAAGACTGGTGTATTGTCACGCACAACTGCTGCTTAACTGGCATGCTCCTGTGAACTCTTATAACTACTTACAGCAAAACTACTCATTAAACCCCAGAACCATTTGGAAGCAGACATGTTTTATGGGTGGGAAAGACTCTGAAGTTGCTTTCTCTATTTCAGGTAGAAGAAGAAATCAAGTCTGATCTCTACATTCTGTTCTTCCATATAGTCCAGCGAATCCCTGAATACCTTATTCATCTACAGGTAGGGCCCCAGGATGGAAAGCTATCTTGTTGAACTCTTATCACAACGTGCAACTTTTAACTCAGAGCTGGTATTCAGGCCTGTACAGGTACAGGGCTTCTGGCTAACCCAGTGGGCTCTCTGAAAAAAACCAAACCCAACAACCTTTGAAAGGGAAAGCCAGCTGAGAATGGCTTAATTTTCATAGTTTTCACCTGAAGCTTATTTCTATGTGCCAGTTTCTCTGTTTGGCCTGACAGAACCAACTTTTGTCCCCTGGGAAGCCAAAAGCTCTGCTGCCAGCTGCTCTGGGAGAACAGGAGGCCAGAGATGGGGCACATCTACTGTGAGCTCCAACCTAAATCCTGTAACAGAGCTGGCCTCTTTGCTGAGTGGTCCACAAGCCTGTTGGCTGAGCGCTAGAGGCTCCTAGAGCCCAACAACCTTTCCTACACAGAGCTTGCTGATAAAAAGAGTTCTGGTTCACAGGAGGGTTATCTGAATTGTAGTGAAACATTTCAGACAAGGCAAATGACACAGAAAGCAAGAACTATAAAAACGAGAGATTGGTTTATTTATCCAATGCTAAACTCAACCAGTGCATCACCCACACATCTCATGATTACATTTACAGTGGTTATTTGTGTATTTGCACTGGAGGCAGGCCTCATCCAAGTCCCTCAGACACTGGTGCTGCCTAGAAAAGCTCCCACTGTGCTCCCACAGGGCAGTGCCTTGGGCACTCCAGAGCACTAATCCATGGTCCCAATAGCACCTTCTCCCCAGAAGGGGTTAGGATGCCCTCCAAACAGCCTGCTCTCCTCTGTGCCCCAGAACGTCCTGAAGTTCACGGAGCAAGAGCATCCTGACTATTACCTGCTGCTGGTGTGTGTGCAGCGCCTCCGGGTTTTCATCTCACACTATAGCCTCCTCTTCCAATGCAATGAAGACCTGCTGATACAGAAGAGGAAAAAGCTGAAGAAGTAAGCACAACATCAGCTCATTCTCTCTATCACCAGGGAAAGGGAGGTGTGTGGGAAGCCTGGAAACAGGGAATTTAGGTCCAGGCAAGGTCAACAGGCACATTGCTCTGTTGAAATAAAACAAAGCCCTTTGCATATGAATGCTGGAGAAGGCCCACTATTGGCATCTGTCCTCCAAACTGAGGTCAGATTTGCAGTTCTGTCTAACTCTGAGAGTAGAAGGAAAATCAGTTTAATCCTTCTAAACATAGCAGCCACGTTTCATAGGAACATTTGATTCCTTAAGCTGATGGCAAAGTTATTCCCCAGTAGGCAAATACATGGGGACTTAGCTGCTTTGGCAGCTCAGGACCCTGGTGAACACCCACTGTTGCCTGAAACCCTCGTAGGCTAAGATTGAGAAAGAATAGCATTACCTTATTTTACAGGGGGAGTGGGGTGGGAGAAACAAAAGCCTCCCATAACCTGTTTGAGATGAACTGTGATAGAAATGACCCTGAATGTTGATTCTCAAGTTGAGGTTCAGAAGAGTTCCTTGAAATCAATACTTTTAGTAAAACCAAAATCTAGTTGCCTTTGCTCCTTGTGATGATTCACTGGGAGAGTAGGGCAAGATCAGACTTCAAGGGAAGCTTCCAAATATGGAGGGTGGTAAAGGGCTGGAGCAGACTGCTGGGGAGGGACTGCTATCAGGAGAGGCATTAAAAGGAGGACAGAAAGACTAGGTGGAACAGGTCCTTCCTTGGGGTGGGAAGAGGTGAATGGGAATATTAAGGTCCCTCCCAGCCCTGTTTTCTGTGATTCTACATGCTCGTGCTCATTCCCTGCCTTATTTCTTAGCACGACGATGGATTTCTCCTCCCTCAGGTCATCCCTGGTGAAGCTGTACAAAGGTCTCACCTCCCAGTGTACGAGCCAAGAGGTTTCTCCAACACCCAGTGCAACATCTATCCGGGACAGTGGGATCCACTCTGAAGAGACAATACAGTCGTTCCCACCAGCACCTTCCTCTGGCACGACAACCCCGTAAGCCTATTGATCTAGTAGAAGGCTTTCAAAATAGGCTGAAAACTCTCTCCTCCCCCATACTATGCCAGTGACACTAGGCAGTTACAGACCAAGACTACTCCCTGTGTATGCATAGAGAGATGAAGGGCTGGCTCCTTCCTGCTATCCACTACCATGTGGCTTACAAGCAGGAAACATTTCAGAGCTCTACCCAGGGCTGTCAATGCTCTTGCTAGCTGTCTTAACAGTGTACCAGGGCAGATACGTATTTGTGTAAGTCTGGCAGTGGTGTGCATAGTAACACTCCGCATTATTCACTCAACACTACAAGAGCTAGGAAACATGACCAAGGTCTCAGACTAGCAAAAAAAGTACTTTTCCACACAGCACATCATTGAATGATGGGACTCACTATCACAAGATGTAAGTACAAATGGGTTCAAAAATACACAAGACTAATTCAAGAAAGATAGAGCTACTAGTAGCACCCGGTAATCTTTGGCCATTTCTAGCCTACTGATATGTGCCAACTGAGGTGATGATCAGAGAAGCACACTAGACTTGCCCTTTTTCTTATGTCAGCAATTTGTGGCTGTTGTGCTTCCTTACATCATTTGACACTAACAAGGAGGGTTTGGCTTCATCATTCTGAGTCTCCCTCAAAAGGCAGTGTTATTAGATCAATCCCTAGCCTCCTTCTCACCAGACTACCCAAGCCAATCTCCCTCTCCTCACAGACATGATGTTCCAGGACCCCACCTTGGTAGCCTCAGCTGGCGCCTCCCCAGTTTCCCCACATTCATCCTGAACTGAGGACCCAACATGGGTCCAGGTGGGGCCTCACCAGCACTGAACAGAGGGGCGGAAAATAACTCCCCACGCTCAGCTGGCCTAATACAGCTCAGGTCAGGGTTTTCCTTGTCTGCCACGAGAACATGCTGTCAGCTCATCTTTACCCTGGCATTGGCTATAACCCCAAGTTCACACCAGGGCTACTGCTCAACCCAAATCTCCCAGGCTGGTTCTGATATATGGGGTTATCTTGCCCCAGATGCAGAGCTCTACACATCTTGAACATTACAAGGTTTCTGTTCCCTCATTCTATTCATTATGTCCCCAGAAGATGGCAGTGGGACTTTCCTAACTAGTGTTCATTAAGGGCCATGGGGGTGCACACCCTGCACCTAATACCTCATCCAGTGCAGGACTCTCTGCTGACTAACCTGGAACACACAGAGGGTAGGAGCCCTCCAAGTACTCCTAACACACTTCTGGGGACAGAGTCACCCTACCCAAGAGAGGAACCTTGTCCACTTGAGAAGACAATCAAACCACTGGAAAGTAAGACACAGCCCTTACATTACAGAAAGAGAAGTAAACTAAAAATCCAAAATGCAGATGAACAGGAGAGAGATGGAGCAGTTGGCTTCTCATCTCAGTTTCTATTCATTTCATGGTGTAGAGTACAAAAGTCAGCCAAAGCTACTAGATAAGCAGTTCTAACCCTGCAAGTTTGCTCCTGCTAACCCAGCCAGGCAATTTCTATTAGTAGCAGCTCTGTTACTGTTCTTCAAGATACAAAAATACCTTTTGGCCTTAAAAGCGAGAGAATAAGGCTGGGGGAGCAAGCAGGGAGGGGGGCTTGTCACACTGTCTCTCACGCATCCTTTAGTATTCCACTTCCTTCTGTTTTTTTTTGTTTTATTTTGTTTCTTATTTTTAAGGCATTTGATGCCCCAGATGAAGAAACCCCAGCCAACTGTGATGGAGAACATTCAGGCTGTAAAGCCCCCTGACTGGGAAATGGAAAGTAGAAAACATGAGAGGCCAGAGAACATCCTTGCATCCTCTCAGCTCACAGAGCAGGAACTCAAGGCTCTGACAGCCCCCTTACAGTCCATCCCTGAAATGGAATATGAAGCACCACCAGCTGATGCGGTGGGAAACACTGAGAGAGCCATCAGGACCTCTGTGGAGCTGCTGCAGGATGCGAGGAACTTTGCGCCAAGCTATGAAGAGTTTGACTACCCTGGGGAAGTTTTCACCCTGCCGGGCCCTTATGAAGATGATGCCTTCCAAAACCTTGCTCTCTTTGAGAATTGCTCCCCAGCGTCTTCTGAGTCCAGCTTAGACATTTGCTTCCTTAGACCTGTTAACTTCACATCAGAACCAGAGAGGACAGATCATGCCTTACAGCCATTACCCAAGAGCTGCACTCCCGTAAGCAGCAGTACTTACAAGCGTGAGATGTTCCACAGCAAAGGCAAGCAGCTGAGCAGGTCTCTGAAGGAGCTGCCGAGGAGCGCTGAAGGCGTGAGCACCAGACTCTACAGCACACGGAGCAGCAGTGGGAGCCGGCTGCAGCAGAAGCAGGAGAGGAATGTCCAGCCTCACATGATCTCAGCCTCATCTCGAAGCTCCCAAAGGAGCTACTTCCCCCCACAGAGAGGAGCGGGTGAAAAACAGAGCTTTTTGGAAGTAAGGAGGCTTAAAAAGGAGGAAAAAAAAAAAAAAAAAAAAGCACATTGTGGTGCAGAAGCAGCGGCAGCAGCAGGAGAAAGATATGAGATAGTTAGGGCAGAACACACCAAAATAGCTTCCAAGTCCACACACTCAAAGTCCTCATCTGCATGTACATGCCCAAGGGAGGGACAAGACAGCTCCTTTTCACACACATCTTCCCCAGGGACAAGCATGGGCTTAAGGCACACAGCTGGCTGAGTGACAGCTAGAACACCCTTGAGACAAGCTAGCCTCCCATGTGTCTCTAGCTGTCACTGAGCTTCCCCCACAAGTAAATGTTGTATCTGAGCAGGGTCACCAAGTATGCACAAAGCTGTTCAAAATTAGTGCTATAGGGTGGCACCCAGTTGAAAAGGTGCCTTTCCACCTGCTGTGAGGAGTGCTGGGTTAAGAAAACCAATGGATATAGTATCAGATCCTCAGCTGGTGTAAACCAGCATGACTTGGCTGAACTCAGCTCATTTACACCAGCGAGGATCTGGTCCATGGTTTTTGTTTCACCTGCATTTGTTGCATGGACTGCAGACCCATGCTAAATTCTGTGTGAAAACAGACAGAGCCCAGCAACTGTGTCCCTCAGACAACCACTGGCATGGCAGGGACACCAGGTCTTGCAGGAGCAATGTTTCTGTAGTCTGCAGTGCCTGTTCAGAGTCAGCTTTGAGCTGTCACAGTCAGGGGGAAGATGCCCTTCACACTTCCTGGGGAAGAGGCTGAGGGTGCTGTGAGGTGCTTAGCCAGTTCTCTCAGTGCTGCCTGGAGAAACACCCTCCTGTTAAAATGAGGCAAGATGCAGATGAGGCTGTAGATGCAGATGATGATAGGAGGAAGGTTCCAACAGCCTGACTGAAAAGGCAGCAAAGAAGCCTCAAAAGAAAACAGAGAAAAAAGCCCAGTGAGTGAAGGAGGTGGTGGATGGCTGAGCAGGGGAAATGAGGCAGAGGGAGAAGAGCCATGGGGACACAGCCCCTGCCATGAACAGGAGCCTGCAAGCTCTTTCGCACTCACCTGCACAGAGCTACGGCCCACAGCAGGGTGCGGATGTGGAGCTAGTCCAGAACTGCAGGTCACAATCTCCCTCACAGAGCAAAGGAGACCACCGTGGCAGTGGTGGGCAGAACTGGAGAAAAGGGACTTGTCCAGGGCCTTGCAGAGAGGAACTCAGCACTCTCCTGGAAAGGGGGAAGAGATCTTTTAGTGGCACATTTTTTGCAAGGTGCATGTGCTAATGAAGCCTTCTGCCCCACAGATACAAAACCAGGCAGCAGCAGAGCCAACAGAAGTCTTTCACACCGTATCAGCTCAAGAAGCCTGAAGCCTCCCTGCCCTAGGGTAAACAGAGCTCATGAGCAAGGAGAGGGTGGGAAGTTCCTTCAACTGCCTATACTGGCTTGCTCTGTTGTTGGCAAAAGGGACTAGTAAGCTCCCCCTAAACAAAAAGCTTAGCAAGGAAGGCTCCAGTTCCCTCTAACAATGCTTATCCTCTGCCACTGCCTCAGCCTCAGAGCCAGCAACAAGCTCTCTGCAGAGGTACCAGTGCTGCCAGTGCTGAGTGACCTGTTGTCTCCCAGCCTTACCAGCACCTCCTCACACACCAGGTCCCTCCTAGTATAGAGAGGGAGACAGAGAGAGAGACAGAGAGAGATTCAGAGAAGGGAACAAGGATGTCAGGTTACAAATGCTGGTTAAATTGTCTTTTCCCTTTTAGGAGCTCCATGCAGAAGACAACACCAGGTTCTGCCAGAAGGATGACAATGAGCAAACATCCTTCAGCGACCACAACCCACGGCACGAGCCCAAGGGGGGTTTCCGGAGCTCCTTCCGCAAGCTCTTCAAAAAGAAATAAGCAGCCCCAAGAAAGGCAGGCCACAGCCTAAGTGCGACAGTGTTTCCCCAGGTCCCTGAGGGTGGAGACAGACAGCAAGGTCCCAAGATCGCCCCTAAGACAGTAGGTGGAGGGGTGGGGGAGAGGAGACTGTCACAACTGCCTTACAAATGCATCCTGCTCTTCCTAGCACAGGGCAGGGCCAGGCTATGGGTTGAAGTGGAGCTCAGCCAGCAGGTCCAATAAGCACAGGAACTTGCTAGCTTTCACCTCTGCCTGACTTAACTTTCCTTGGAGTTTTGGAAAGCTTTGGCTGAATCCCACTATCTTCTCCTCCCCCTCCTCCTCCAACGCTGCCTGATTTGCCATACATCTTTGCTCTTCCAAATTCAAGTCAGGTCTAATTTGGGCTCATCCACAACACAGGGGTTACCTCTGCAGCCTTGGCATCCTGGCCAGAAGTCTGAAATTCCCCTCTTTCCTCCACTTTCCAAAAAACCCCCCCCAAACCTCCCCAACAAAACACCAAACCAAAAAACCAAACAACCGACCAAACAAAAAACCAAACCCCACCATCTAAGATGTCTTCCAGGAGACCAGCTCACATTACCCTGCTGGTTTGAGAAGGTCCAATAAACATCAGCTGAAGCACCTGGGCTTTGTACTACATAATCAGCAGCATCCTTCCTTTTGGACTTTCATCACTGCCCAAAATCTTCCTTCACCTTCTATGCGGCATGCTGTTTCTTGAATTCCCTCCTGCTGTATGAATCTCTGCTCCTGCTGTCAGAATTGCCTGTGTCTCCAGGCAGGTGACACAAGCTGAGCCCAGGGCCTGCCACAAGAGACAAAGACTCTTCTCCACCCTATTTCCCACCATGGATCGATGCAGACACACACAGTCAACCAGTGTCCTGGCTCCTGGTCTGTAATACACCTGAAATACTCTTTGCTAACTCTCTTTGGCCTGACACCACTCCACAAGCTCCATCACATGCAGAACCCTGCTTTGGAGCAGTTATTCTAGCTCAAATTGAGGCACTAGGGCAGGAAGTCGATGGTGCCCCATGTTCAAAGTCACAAGCCCTCCTTCTTGTGCAAGGATACTCTTCCTCCCACAAGGCCGCACACACACCACCCTCCTTGCATCTCGACATGACAAACCCTCAGTAATGCTGTTCTCTGCAGAAGACTATAGCTTCTGTCAAAAAGAAAGTATGGAGAGAAACAGCCCTCTGGTGTGATATCCATGCCGCACCCCAGCAGCAAGAACACTGTTGGTACAGGGCTGTGGTGTTAGCTGAAGTTGGGGCATGCTGAAGGCAGTTTCAAGAGGAAATGTGTTTTTATCACCTTATTTTGGCAGGGTTGGGACACTGGTCTGTCATAAAGAACAGCTTCACCTGAAGAGGTTGTGAACTGTCTCCATGGGGCCAACAGCAACACCTCGGGGGAAAGATGCAAGGGTCTGAAATTAGGGGCTTGGGACTCCAATACCAGTGCAAGGGTGACTGAACCTGGTGCCATCATGCTGCATGGCTCTCCTGGCAGCAGCAATGGTATGGGGAGGGCGCAGAGCAGGTGTCCTTGGCTGCAGCAGCTAACACCCACTGCAGATGTGGGGCCTATAGCTCTCCCATAGAGTCAACTGACCCGCATCCACCATCTGCTTTTCCTCCTCTGGTGGAGGTGAAGAGGCGTGTGTGAAAAGCGTTAACCACCTAAGACAGACAAAATCCATCCTTTATCTCAACCAAAGTTTTCCCAACATTTCAAGAAAGTGACCCAAGCAAAACCCCAGAGATTAAAATGTTTTAGCTGATGCCTGCCTGCCCCATAGATTTTACTGGACCCAAAATAGTTCCCAAATATCCACTTCTCCTCCTTACAAAGATGAAAGAAGTATCATCCCCAACCCCTGCCCCATTTTGGAAACTATTCTGGGAAGATTTTTTTTTTTTTTAATGTAAGGCTTTTAATGACAAAAAAACTTTCCATCTCTTTCCCTCTCCCTCACATCCTAATTAAATTACAATTACACTGGCCCTTCCCAGTCACAACAGCTCCACACTGACCAGCCACTGCATCACAAAGACACTTCCCAGGACTTCGCAGCTTTCAGTCAGACAGCGCAGGGCCAGGATAGAAATATGTAAGAGCCAGATACTTGTAACTGAAGCATCAGCAAAGCCTGTTTGTTCTGCAAAGGAATCAGCCACAGACAGACTTATTCGTCCATGGAACCAGAGTTACATCAATATGGACGAGTTTCCACTGTAATGCACTGATGCTGTCAAGGGCTCTGATGCTTGTGTCTTTGGTCTTATATATAATGACACTTCTGTCCTTCATAGAACAAACTTGCTTCCTCACACTTGCCAGGCAGATGCCAGGACAGAAACAGGACAAAGGGGAAAACCTACCTGCTAACATCTCCTGGGTGAGGAAATCCTTCCAAAGTGGCAGACCCTTGCTTGTACAATGCACGTGGATTTTAGCTTCTGTTTTAGTGATTTAAGGCATGGTCAGAATTGATGGTTCTTTCTTTCTGATCCTGTATGAGTTCTTACTTCCAGGCCTATACTTATCATTTGAGATGTCCTTGTACCTGCTCACAATCTGCAAATGTAAATAAATGAGTGATGCTCACCACCACACAGAAACACACAACCTCTTGCAGGATCTGATCCAACTTCACCTTTAGTGTGTGTACTCTGGATTATTTTTCTTCCTGTGCCAAATAAATGTTGCTTTTAAATAACGCTGTTGTCTCTTTTGCACTGAATCAGCCATGTTTCCCAGGTCCCTTTCTGAGGCAACATTACTTACAAAATCCTGTTCCACTGCACACACAGTCATGTGGGAGGACCGTTTCCATACACGTGGTTCCAAGACTCTTACTCAGCACTTTGCTGACTCACTCTCTAGGCTTCTGGTCAAGATCCTGTTGTTGCTGCAGCTCACCGTGACATTTCTTCAGCTCCTTCCTACATCTCCTTTACTCCTTCTGCTACAGGCACATGAGCTTTCACAAAAAAAAAAAAAAAAAAATCCCATGAACCTCCTCCACTGACATACACAGCACTGTAATTTCAACTATCCAACTCTGTAAGAGATCTTAATATCTTCCTGTGTATCACAAACACCTGTCACGTACCAAGTTTTTTTAAAAATTGAATTCCAGTTCTGACTATCGACACTATCTTACCCTTGCCACATTCTCAGCAGGTCCTAAACAATGACATCACAAACAGGGACAATTCAGCTTGCAGTACTCGGACCTCCCCATGCCACGCGGCACCTGCAAGCATGTGTAGCATTCCTCCTACCGCTCTGTAGCTCTCTGCAATGTTGTGTCCCTTGAGGACAGCGGTCTCAGAGATTAGAGTATGCCAGCAGAGTTTTGAATCAACAGCCCAAATGCAGGTTTACTCCTGTGCAAATCTACTGGGGTGTTTCCTCCTCAAATCCCTTTCGATCATGTGGATGCAGAACATGCCTATCAGCTAGCTGCTGGGGAACTGCCAGCACCTGAGACAGCCCTCAACAGGACATGCTGTCATCGTGGCTGTGACTCTTCTAGATCACCTCTCCACAGCTACACCCCCTCCTTAAGTCAGCCACCCCAGACTCTCTTCAGATTACGGGTAACTTTGACTTTCACTGCTGGTCAAACGTATCCTCTCACCACTTCATTCCTCTAAGCCAGTGTAACTGAGGCTACTTCTAAGTTTATATAGCTTAGGCAGTTTCTTCTACTTTTTTTCCCCAGAGTTGCAATGTATCCTGGCTTCTTTCACAAGTTCTTAGGAGTATTTTCACGTCAGTACAAGTCATGTACATGTACAAGTACAAATACTCCTCACTAAGGGCAAAAACCACCTCAACAGGTTCCGAGGAATCCAGTTGCTTTTTCCCAACTCTGCACATGGTTGTGACAGCTCCTTGCTCGTGCCTAAACAGAAGAGGAGCTGGGACGTGTAGTTCTGTGTTTGGCCACTGTTTTGTTTTGTGGGTTTTGTGGGGTGGATTAGATGGAGGAGACTACCATGAATATTAAGCAGTTTCTACTTGTGAGTGGTCTTCATTTATTCACTCCATTCTTTGAAAGCAGATGTTTTGCCTATTGCCAGATATGAGATATTAAACATTATGTCCCTTTATTTACTGTGATTTGATTGGACAAGGGGACAAAATGTAGGCTTTTACATGAAATTACCTACCTAAAAACCTCATACAGTAAAATTCAAGAGACAGATCTGTTTATCCATAGACGGCAGATCCTTTCACGCAGTAAGTTGTAACAGAAAGCCGCAAAGCTGGAGTAACACCTACAACGAATAATCCTGTGGCAGAGAACAACACAGTTAAAAGATGCTATTTTGTGTTCCCTACTGTACATACACCTTTCTTGTCTTCTACTCCATACAGTTCCTCTGCTCACAAGCTACCGTGTCTTTTAATATTTTACTATCCTGAGCAAAACCTACATCTGTAGCAGACTCATGATTGTTCTTAATGTAAAGCACACAGTATTTAAGCTTAAGGAAGCCAGTCTCAGACTACAAGGACTTTCAGTGTATCTTACATATTCAAAAGTATACACTTCTGGGATACATAAGGCCTTTTTTTTTTTTTTTTTTTTGAACATATCTTTTAATGGCAAAAGGTAACAGCCACTATTAAATTTTCACTTAAATGCAATCTGAATAGCACTGCAGACACAGCATACAAAGATCACCTACAGACAGTTACGTACACAAGGTCATCAGATGTGCCAGCTAAAGTTTACCACTTCTCTATTTTTTTATTTTATTTATTTATTTATTTTTTACAACTGGACTGACATAGCTTTTAACATTTACTTATTTAGGCAAGTAACCATGCCATGAAACAAAGGCAAATGTACACATGTACTGGAACAAACTTATTGGAACCTAAAATTTGTTTTTTTTTCACAAATAAAAAAAGGCTTATTCCAAAATAGATTCAAACAAATTTGTCCAAAGCAATTCCAACAACATGCACC